TCCCCCCAACCCCCAATTTAGGTTTTTCCTGTACTCTGTGTCTCAAGTGTGTTTCCTCAATTGCTAATTAAACTACAATACTCAGTATGCCCTCAATTAGTGTCTTAGAAAATTTGACATTGAGCAGTGCCCTGTGAACTGTAGCCACTGTGGTCAAGGGTGTGTTTTATCTTCTAAAACTACCTCTCTCAGAAAATTATTATGAAATTCTTTATCCTGGTATTACTCAGAATGATCAGAAGTGTTCTGAAGTGACAGTGACTTGGGAGAAAGGGAGACAGAAAGAAGACAGGAGCATTTTGTGTTGACAATTGGATGTGACTAAGTGAGGCAATAGACGCAAAAAGAGAAAACTGCAAAGCCCCGAGTCCTGAGGTTGTTCACAGAGACCTCTGAAATGCTTCCCAAAAGTAGTATTAAAAGTTTCCCCCAGCCTACCCCAAAGGTTCTCAGCTGGTGCAGGGCCCAGGGATGCGCATGTTATTGAATGCCCTAGGTGATTCAATCATGCGTTAGAGATTTTGATCGCAAACCATTAATAAAGAATTGTACTGACATATCACCCGTAGGTATAATACATAGTCAAAAAAAATCCACAAAATATATTTTAAAATACAGGTTTAAGTGTTTATGCTTTACATACCCTAGTGTATTCATGCAGTATGTATGCCTTTCGTTGAAGACCCCACTGATGTAGTTTCCAGACTGCAAGACACACCCAGTTCATGGTCCATATGGCCTATTTGGTGAGACAGAACCAGCACTTTTCAAAATGAAATAGAAACTATCAAAGCATTTCATGTAACAAAGCACAACTTTGACATCAGTTTGTGTGCATGTATGTGTCTGTGAACTGGGATATAGTGTCACATCATTCCTGCTGTAGTCTTACCATTTTTTTTTTTTTTTTTTTTTTTTTTTTTAAGATTTATTTATTTATTTGAAAAGCAGAGTGACAGGCAGAGAGAGAGAGAGATTACTGTGGATCTTTATCTAATAAGTTTGAATGCTGACATAGGAGATAGCTATAAACATGATCCTTCTATTTGCCCTTATATTCACAATCTGCAAAATGTAGGCTTATCTTCTTTCCTTCCCTTGCTCTTTAGATCTTCATGAAGCCTTTCTGAGGTATAATTGACAGAAAAACAGATGTATATATTTAATTTGTATATATCTCAATGAATTTGGGGATAAGTTAATAGAAAATGGGAGCAAAAGATAAGATTATTTTGATGTAAAAAAATGAAATATGTGCATAGTTTTTTCATTTCAGTGTTTTCCATGATCTTTTTTTATATAAATAGTTATTTGAAAGGCAAAGCAAAAGATAAAGAGATTTTCCAACTGTTGGTTCATTCCTCAAGTGCCTGCAGTAGCCAGTACTGGGCCAGGTTGAAGCCAGGAACTCCATCTAGGTCTCCCACATGGATGACAGGGTCTCAAGCACTTGGGCTGTGCTCTGCTGTGTTCCCAGGTACACCAGCAAGAAACTGGATCGGAAGTTAGCAGTCAGGATTCAAACTGGCACGCAGTATGGGATGGCAGTGTCACAAGCTGCAGCTTACCCAGCTGTGCCACAGTACCAGCCCCTCTGTGAACTTTCTGATGACCCATGAAGCCGTCACCACCATAAATGCTATAAACATGCGTCACCTCCCAGTGTCTCCCCCGCCTTCTTTATTGCTACTACTATATTATTGAATTTTGCGTCTGTGATTTTAAGTATATTAATCACTGCTGTTAGCTGTAGGCATTATGACATATAGATCTCTAGAATTTATTGATCTCATAGCAGATCTTTAAACATCATCTCCCTCCTTTTCCTCCCCACCTGGCCCCTGGCAGCCATTCCACTCTGTTTCTGAGTTTGACTATTTAGAGTCCAGATATAAGTGAGACTTTCTGTATCTTGAGGGCACTTTTATATGAGTTGTGTTATCCATCTAAGTTTATTCTGTAGCAGCCTCCCCAGGTAGCTGTGTTGGCCCAAGACAATCCTAGGTCTAAAGCCTTAGATCAGTCTGGAGACTGGATTCATATCCGTTCTGTGTAGGATTGTATCTTGGGTTAGCTGGGAATGTATTATGTAACTTCTGTAGCTTCATTTCCTAGTTCACTGCCAACATTAGACTGGGTCATCTGTTTCCCCTTCAGCTCTGTATCAATGATCAGAGTAAACAAGAATTATTTTTTTATGGGTAACTTTATTGTAACACAGTGACCAAGTGAACCCCTATAGCAAGTGGCAGTTCCATTAGTAGTAGTATTCTAGCACCCTTTTTTTGAGTCCATAAATAGCAACCTGTTATAATTACCTAGTTAATGTCACTGGTTCAACCTCAACAGCAGTAGTTTTCCTGGGAAATAAAGAATGCCAACTTTGTTTTTATTGTACATTTGATGTCTCTAATGTGCTTCAGATGCACTTGACCTCTAGTGAGTTTTCTTCGATTTTTTTTAACAAGGTCAGTTTACCTTTCCAACAAGTAATAGAACCTCAAAAATAACATAGCTGCCTTTTAAAAATTTAAGAAAACATTCATTTTTAATTTCTTCATGTTTTGAAATCAAAATTTACCTATGATTGATTCTGTCAAAGGAGGGAAGCTGCTTCCAATCTCTGATAATATTATTTGAAAATCTTGCAACAGCAGTCCTTTATCTTTTGATAGTAACACTTTATTTTCCCTTGTCCCTGTTAGCTTTCTATTTCTTCTATCTAGAAATAATGCTGAATCTATCCCTGATGGTTTTTACTGTGCAACCCAGTTTTGTTATCCAAACCTATTACAAATTATAATCTCTGACCAGTGTCCTGTGTATTACGTATGCACAATCCACGCATCATTCATCTCTCTGAAATGTCTAATATGAAACTCCCTGTAATACAGTCTTCTTTCATGGAGGTGGATTAATTTTTACCTTGGATTATATGTTCGAAGATTGATACCCTTTTCCCCTGTAATTTTTTCCTCTCTATTCTGGCAATTCTACAGATAGAAAGAAAATGTCTAGGTGCCTGTGCTGTCCAGTTCAGTAGCCACTGGCCATAAGACAGTATTTGAATTTAAATGAGTTATAATTCAATATAACTAAGACTGTATTCATTTCTGTTTCCCTGTCGCAGTAACCATATAGTACCATGTGGCTTGTGGCTGGCTCTATTGGACTCCCATAATCACAGGAAGTTTGCTTTGACAGTTCTAGACTGTCCAAGGTTTTTTCCAAAAGGAAAGATCAAAATTAGTCAAAAGTACATTTCTTGTCTCATAGCATATTAATGATTCCAATGCAGAGATCTCTTATCAGTGGGTTGTTTAGTTTTCCTCCTTTTGCCACTTTGCAGTATATTTTTATTGAGAGTGGTCAGTTTCTACATATGTAAGATAAATGACTATGTAATAGATTTGGAGTTTTCTGTTGTTGGTATTTACCTTCACTTTCATATTTGTAACGAATAGTCAGCTTTTTGAGATGGGAAGAGATTATTGAAAGAGGGTGCTATGTGTTTTAAAGTTTTGGAAAGCTTTGTAGGTTACGCTTTATCACTTTTAAAACAAGTTTTGTTATCCCATGGTTTTCGAATTTTAGGTAATATTTTTAAGTAAGTAAATATGGCATACTGTATATAATAATATTGCCATAAGAAGTGAGCTTTTAATAGTGTCTAATTTTTATTTAATCATGCCAAAGATTGAGAAAGTAAATCCTTTGCTTTCTGCAGTTTATAGTCTCACGCATACGTTGTTGACTTAAGAGCTTTGACAGATGGGACAAAGGGAAAAACATCAAACTGAGCAAGGGGTGCTTTGTGGGATTAAGAGGATTGGTGGCGGAATAAGGAAATCCTGTGACCAGGGACTGCAGGGGTGAACCCTAGAGACTGGAAGTGACTGAGAGGTCAGGTACACCCTGGTGTCTGGAGGATTTTCTTGGGATTGATGAGAATAATTCAGCAGTGCCCCTGCTTCCCTCACAATCTGCTCAGTTTGTGTGTTCGTGTTGGCAGACCAAGGTCATCACTGACCACCCACGACAAATGGCAGCGATGGCTTTTGCTCCTTTTGGCCTTTGGCGACTTCCTAATTGGAAGGTGAACCCCGAGGGCATCAGAGATGCGGAAGTTTCCTCACAGGAGCTGTGCCGTAGCATAGCACACAAAAATCACCTGCCGTTTGCTTTTGAGCTTTTTTGTTTGTTTGGGCTTCTTTTTTTCTCCTAAATTCTGTAGGTTTTAGTCATAAGGAAAAACAGTTTTTTTCCTCTTAAGTTTTAAGAAGTTGGGAGTTATGTTTCAAATTTAAGGGCTGAGACAAGATTGTTATAATAAATTTTTAATTTTCGTGTAACAGCGGCTTTAGTTCAATGGTAGGTTTTAAAGCTTTAAAAACTGTATGTATCTACTTGACAGAAATTTGAAAATTAATCAACCAAATGATATGGTGTTGGTTAGTAATATGCTTTGGTTTATATTTTAAATATACAGTGCTGAAAATAAATGTTCATTTTTGTTGCTGGAAGAATAGTTTTACATTTTATAATCATGGTGAATGGAGGAAAAAAAGAGAGAAAAGTATCCCACTTAGGATGCAGCAGAACAATGCAGGGCATGCAGTTATTTTAGTCATCTAATATGTCAGCATTCAAGAATCTGAACCGATTGTTTAAAAAAAATCTTGTACTTTGTTTCTTTTGTTGCTCACTTCCAACTTTGTCATCTGTCAGAATGCAAAAAAAAATTATCCTTCTATAACCATTGACAGGATAACACAAAAGCTGTCTCCAGGTCGATATTTTGCAGCAATATTTTTAACATACGAACAGTAGTTTTTATAATTTCACCTTGGTGCTCAACCATTTATTATCGTATCAGAAGCATGTCAGTAATTCCTTTCTAAATGTCTGCTTCTTTTAGCGCTGAGACCCACATCAAGGGCTTCACACTGAACGATGCTGCCAACAGCCTCCTCATCATAACGCAAGTTAGGCGGGATTATTTGAAAGGTATGTCACAATGCTTGACCTTTACGTCACATTAATGCCTCTGCAGATTTTTCTTGTAACGCCCTTCGAATACTTGGATAAAGGAGTCCATTTAGCAAATTACCTGCTTATCAAGAGCCTTTTGTGGTAGCTGAGAGACGTAAATTACTGTACATGCATTTATAATACAGCTTGAATATGAATGTACTTGTCATTTGACCACTTAGTCCAGTTTCCATTCCATTTAACACAAGATGGGTTTTCTTAAGATGAATCACAGCTCTTCAGACATGCAAAATTTGTGTTCCAGAACGAGAGAAAGTACAGGCTTTCAAGTGCGTTAAAATTCACAGTGCAAGTCATTTTGCTTTGGAAATTAACATACTTTAGAGCATCTGAAACAATTCCCAGCAGTTGTTTCTTGCATATTGTGTTGGTTGTGTGTGAGATAGCAAATGAGTTAAATTGAGTGTTAAATGTGTGGGATTGCGCACCAAATGATTATAATATTGATTTTTAAAACTTAATCTAATACTTTTTAATAGTTCATAATACCAACAGCAATAAAATATGGTGTGTGTTTGAAGTTTAGAGTTTTTAAATTAATGTTAAGGTAACAACAGTGATATGTGGCAGTGACCTTGGTGAGGACAGATAGGGACTGTTGAACTGTGGGTTCTCAGTGGGGTAGACTTGGATCTGAAGGTCCGATGAATGAGTTCCCAAGGAGAGATGATGAAGCCCTTAAGTTTAGGTGGGTAGCTTTTTATGTAAAGTTTTCATTTGAATTTTAGTCAATATAGTTCCACCACGGTTCTGCTAACAGGACAAAACCCTCTTAGGAGAGCTGTGAGGGAAGCTGAAGAAGCTCTTAAGCTGCTACATGCGTTTACCTGGATCTTCTCGGTCTGTTACAATGGCCTTAAGTCCTCGTTTGCCTGTTTGTTAAACAAATTCACATCCTGGAGAGGGAGAAAGTTAGCATCTGTGCAGCTTTGGGGTTGCCTGTCAGTACGTGAACATGCCAGCCATCTAGCTGTCTCCTGAGTGACTCGCACTGAATCTGGACGTGGTAGCTCCTTCCTTTGCAGCCCTTGCACCCCAGCACCCTACAGGCCAAGCACACCATCCAGACAGGCTTTTTGGACAACAGTAGGTCATCCTTGAAGTGGTGTGTAACGCTTGTTGTTAAAACTTGAGCAGCCTTCATCTGTTTCCCAAAAAAAAAAAAGACTTCATTAGGTTGAAATTTTATATAAAAATGAGAGGCAATTTTAAGGCATTGAAAAGTTGATCTTGCTCCCCCACATAAATAACCCTATTGTTGTCAGTAGCTTATGTTTCTGTAGAAATGGAGATAAGATAAAGACAGTGTCTGAATTTCAGGGGGTTCATTTTTGACTGAACCTGACATGAATTTCACTCGACTGCCGTCTCTTACTGGCTGGGAGGCGTACCTGGTGTGGTGTGTGGCCTGCTCTTAGCTGTTCCACTTGACTGAGCTTGTCTGAGAGCAGACACAGTGACCCTGCTGTTGCCCCTCTAGCGACACCACCCCTCCCCGTGTTCAGCACACACTAACCAGTGGTCTTCTATGAGGATGGGAGCAGTGCTAGCCCATTTCCTGACCCCGCATTGCTCCGTGGCTGGCAAGAGCTCCAGACTTTGCCAGCATTTAAATCCTCTTCTGTTCCCCGCTTCTGTCTTTGAGGTTTCTTTTTCTCAACCCCATCTAAAGTAGGGAGGAAAAATAATGCAAGTTAGGTCTTAACTTAATTTTGTGAGCTTACACTGTGGCAGAGTTAATAAGGTACCTGGCACCTTTGCAGTGTGATTAGTATCACTAGTGAGTAATTGAGTAAGTGCTGGAATCGAGTGACTGGGGTGGAAAGGAGTCAGGGAAGGGAGGGGTGGATACCGTGTATGGTGTCCTTTAAGATATTAACTGTGCAGAAGGAAGGTCTTGTATAAGAATATGATTCAGGTCACAGGGTCTCACGCTCCCTTCGGATGGACATACCATGATCTATTCTCTGAACCCCTCCACTCTCATGCGCACATACAGCTCTGGTGCAAACTCTGGAACGGTTAGACTAGGGTTGGTGCTAGCAATGTGACCTTGACTTTGGAGAAATATTTGAACCTTCTGCCTCAATGTCTCATTTGTATAATTGGTTCTTAACTTTAGAAGGGTAATTGTGGTTGTGAGACTGGGTACCATGCCTTGCACGCAGCAAATAATCAGTAATACCTGCAAGGCATCTAATCTGGGAGTGTAAAAATTGGGTATTCCAGTTTACCTGTATCCTGTGTGAGTGCTTCTGTCTGAACCAGAGGGAGACAGTGTTTTTACGAAACAATCTGTGGGATATTAGAAGTTTTCCTAATCACATGATCTCAGATTGAATCAAGTCTGGGGAAGTATGGCTAGGTAGAAGATGCTTTCTTTTTTTACAAGCTCTTTAATTTTTTTAAATTCTTCCTTTTTTATGTTTTTCTGAACTTGTCAACTTACTTGAAATTGGTTACAAAAGGTTATCCCTGAATGGAACTCACATTGTTGGTAATCTTGTATTTTTTCTGTGACTTAAAGTAGAAATTTCTCTGCACTCAATATCTTATGTCATTTTTTTAGATTTCTCATGAAGTATTGATATTTTTGTGATCCAGAGTAAATTATTCATGGTCTTTCATATATAGCCATTTGGCGCTCATACTTAAAAGCTGGTTTTCAAAATGCATTCGTCAGTATGGATCATATGAGAAGAGCTCTGTGCTCTGCTCTTTGATTTCAGAGGCTCTGAGGACGCTAAAAGCTGCCTTGGACCTGGGGCAGACGCCCTCTAGGTTAGCAGTGACCCGCCTCATCCAGGCATTTGCCCTGAAGGGTGATGTACAAAGCATAGAAGCAATTCAGAAGATGGTGCATGGACTTGACTCAATCGGACTTTCGCGGATGGTTTTCATCAATAACATTGCTTTGGCACAAATAAAGAAGTGAGTATTTTTTTAAGCTTTCTTTTCCTCTGGCATACCCTGGAGTGAGTGAGCAGTATCTCAGTTTTTACTTTTAAAAAAACTCTTTCAGGCATTTGGAAAACACGTCAGCTGCATTAGAAATTCCATATTCTGATTGTTTCCTAGTTAACTTTTAGAATGAACAGCATTTGTCAATTTGCTATAAGTTGCTCCACAGTTACTCACCTTTCTTGTCTGGGTTTCTTGGTGAAACACTTCCATTACAAAAGCTAAAAACGATCTCGTGCTTGTCAGCAATCCTGAGAGTGACCCCCTCCTAGAATATGGTGAAACAGAGCAAGCTTGTTAAAAATATGCGTTTCCATATCCCCCACCGCCCATAAGGGTGCTCACCCATAAAAAGGGGAGACATTTAAGAGTGGAGTCTCTTCACACCGCTGTAGAAGGAAGTGGGGACTGGATTTTTTAGTAACCTCACTTGCAAGGCATTTATTCACGAGGAAGGCACTCTTAGTGCCTTTGAGGGGAAATGTTCTTTAACAGTTAATGTATAAATTTAATGGCATATGACTTTAAAATATAATGTTTGCTTTTTTTTGTATTTTTTTTTTGTTTGCTTACTCCTGTTTCTTTGAGCAGAGAAGGTTATTTTTGCTTTACTTTTTAAAACTGTTTCCCCAAATAGAACTTCAAACTTTCCCCCTTCGTAAGAAAATGTGATTCTTTTAAGTTACAAGATACGGAAATTACCCAAGTAAGAGCCAGTTGAATTTTTAATTGTTACACAGTTTTACATGATTTGGAGAATGTATTTTTTACTCACTGTAATTTCTCTGAAACACATAAGACAAATGTATTGTAAAAGAGCATTCATTTTTAACAGTGAATTATTTAATGTAACCATTTTCAACATGAAATTATTTGAATCTGGAGTGCTGTAACTATAAACTATCAGATACAGATGAGCTCAACCAACATGATACACATGAAGTAATTTATTAAATGAGGCCACGTGGTTGGATTTTTTTCACATTTAAGTATTAAAATGCTTCAGGGACTTTTACTGTAAGTTGAGTATATCCCAAATATACCTGACAAAGAGAAACATACAACTGTGGGTTAATATGAAAATATATACCTTTTTTGAAGACATTATCATCCTCTTTAAAAATCCTAAAATGTTCCTACTTCATACGCTAGTGACCAATTGTAGATTTATAAAGTACAAATTAGAGCATTTAAAGAGGTATTCACTTTATATCCAGAGAAACACAATCAAATTTAAGTATTTAAGATACAGTGTTTTCTAAGTTATCTCCATTAATTCTTCTGTGTACACTTGTTTGATACTGTCAGTAGAGCAGTATTTTAAAACAAGCAACTGTTTTAAGTGTGGTAAAGAATAAAGTATGGAAGTACTATAGCATGAACCACCCAGTGATTCCTCTGCTACCTAAATGTGAGTGGATGCATGTTCCACGGTGTTTTTATCTAGGTAATTGTAAACACAGTTCCTTTTTTTCCCTCAATGTTTTTCCATGAGAATGTCTAAAAGTAAGTTCTTAGAGTAAAACTGCCTGCAATATTAATATAAAAACAAACATTTGTAAATTTATTTTGCTTTCCTTTATAGCAATAATGTAGATGTTGTCGTTGAAAACATTGAAAATATGCTTACTTCAGGGACTCCGACCGTGGAGCCCCAGTTCTTTGGCTTGGCCTACTTGTTCAGAAAAGTAATAGAGGAGCAATTGGATCCAGCAGCGGAAAAGTGTAAGTTGAAGAACAGAAAAGCACATTTTATCTCTGCTGAGCCCAGACCAAATCTCTTTGGTGGGCTCGTTATACCACTGTTGTGACGAAGGAGTCTTCTTACCTGTTGTTTTTCCAGTAAGCATCATGGCAGAGAGACTGGCCAATCAGTTTGCAGTTTACAAACCTGTCACCGATTTCTTCCTTCAGCTTGTGGATGCAGGCAAGACAGATGACGCCAGAGCCCTCCTACAGGTACGACCCTCTCCTCGTGGAGCAGGGGCTTGAGAAATGTCTAGACAAGTGTATGGTGGAACACTGGCAGGGAAGTGTGGCACTGCTCGCACATTTAAATTCAGCGTGAGTCAAGGTTGCCTGACAAGGACTGCATTGTAGGTGGTAGGCGGCTGGTGTTCCAGGTGCCAAGTGGGACTAGAAATGTCCTCATAATTAACCAGGGGTGGGGGCCGAGGAAGACGGGTCTCATTGAAGTGATTTAAAGACAAATGTGTCCGTGCAGATAGGTAATGTAAAACAACAATTCCTTTGATTTCCTACTTTAATTTCTCTAATGCTCTAAATACTGTGCATCACCATGGCAACACAGTTTGCAAACAAAAAGTAGGAAATGTTTGCTTTTCAAGTACAGCTCCTCACTTGAATACTCAAACATTCTCAGCGCCTTATTCAAGATTTATTAAGAGTTGAATTTGCTTTCCATTCACTTGTGTGTCACAGACACATTAAATGACAAATGCAGGTCTCTGTGGCCCGCACTCTCAGTTAAATTAGCAATCTTCAGGGAGGGAGACAAGCGCATTCATGCCATTTTAACAGCACTAAATATAAAGCTGCGTGCGCCGAGTGCGAGGGAACGGTGGGTGAGCGGAGCTGCCACTGGCAGTGTACACAAACAGGCGCTGCTGGGGGCCCTTCCCAGCAGGTGGCAGTCAAACAGCCACCGCGATCCCGCCCACGGCTGTGTTTGTGTAGACTCCCTGTGTCAAATTGAGGCCTGGGGCCAATTTCGGATAGTAAATAGTATTATATTCACTCACATGTCTACCAGCTGCGCAAGACCGTAAGTGGGAGATTGGGAAGGTAAGACTGTACCCCTTTGCTGGAGCTTCTGTTTGGATCCTTAAAGCACATCAGATTTGACAAGAAACCCATACCATTTTAAAAAGACTTTTCTCAGCATTAACAGTTTTATAAAAAACTGTAAGTTGGCCCTGCTTCTAAGGTTTTTCATTTGTTTCTGAACAGAGATTCAGGTTTATTAGGGGTTTTTTTTGTTTGGCTTGGTTTGTCTACTCCCTCCCCCCCGCCCCCCGCCTTTATTTTTCCTTAAAGGATAAAAGGCAGTATCTGGTAGGCAGGGACTGCAGGAATCTTCGCATTGCTGCTTTCAGTGGTGAACATTCTATTTCGAAAGAAATGAACTCTTAGCTTTATCTTCGTGCACGCGTGTCTCAGCAGCCAGGAGGGGAGCAGGTGCCTAACTGTGTAATCATACGCGGTCGCTGTGCGCTGTGTATTTTAACACACTCCTTTGACAGCGGCCCTTGTGCTCCGTTCGCCAGCTCTTCAGCGCTGGGTGCGAGCGCTGGGGCTCTTGCCTGCCCCTTCCAGCTACGGCGCCCACGGCGGCCCTACCCAAGGGCTCTTGGGCACAGCTCTGAGTTGAGGCCTGAGCCGCAGCCTTTCCTTGTGCTTTTCTCTACCAGACGGAGGTTCCTGATGAGCAGCACTTTACCCATCCTCTACCTGCTTGTCAGACAGTAAAAGCTGATTCTTGCCGTAGTAAAGAATACTTTATTCACAGATGTCGAAAACATCAGTTTATAATGTAAATGTGCTGTGTGTCCCCAAAAGTGCTTTTATACCTTCGTTTTAGTATTGACAGTGTCTTAAAGCCTTGAGAGAGCAATGTGCTTTTAGGAACTTAGGAGAGTGACATCTGTGATGAATGTAAACTAAAATATTGTCTTGCCATATTTGATTTTACTATAGCATCTCAGGTTGGGTAGACACTTGATTTATCTGGTCTGTCATGTAAACTTTTTTTTTGAGTTTAACTTTTGTCTCTTTCTCAAGCACTGGCTGTCTGTTGCAATGAAAGCCTTTTATAAAATAGAGAGATTGAAATCAGTCCTTTTGTATGCATAAGTGTAGGTAATTATACTTTAAAGAGAACTTGCTTTGTACATTTTAATTTTTATAAAGAAACGAGCAGTTATCTCCCTGACACCTTATTAAATGTATAATTAACCTTATGATCCCCAGCTCACTTGTGAATGCTTGGCAGTATAATTGGAGAGGAATCGTGTTTCTTTTTTCCTCTTTCTTTGCAGTCCTAAACCTTATTCTGTGGTTGTTGAAGCATTAGTTTAATTTTTCCCTTTTCTTTTTAAACAAACTTTGTACTTGCAGTGCCAACGGCAGCACCCCCAAAGCTTGGCATAGCTCACACTTGTTTTCTTCCTTCCTCCCCTTCAAAAAACATGGTTGACTGTCAGGCCTTCCTGTTGCCAATGATACACTGGTGCATTATTGTGCGCTTCCTTAATTGGGAATATTCACCCTGATCTGCTTGTTTATCAGAAATGCTCACTTGCTGTGTTGTGTTTTAATTTTTAGAGATGTGGTGCAATTGCCGAACAAACCCCAATTTTGTTGGTGTTCTGTATTAGGAGCTCTCAGAAACCGGGAAAGGTACTGTGCTCTCCTTGTTATCAAATCAGTGATGCTGTCAGCCACTCTTGCTCCATGGATTAACGTAAGAGCTTGGTGGTTCCAGGCTTTATCTAAAGCACTAATGAGATTGAAGACTTTGCTCGTCAGTACCGCCTGCTTTTTGTAGAATGTAGCTGAGAGTGAGTTCTAGCTCCTTCGTTGGACTAGAAGGAAACAAAAAGGAAGCTCATGGAGTGAATTTTCTTTTCGTCTAAGTGTGCACCAAGAGCCCCAAGAAAGGGCCCTCAGAAGTGGAAGCGTAGGCCACTCTGGTACATTTGATGGTGCGGAGGCCCTGCCGAAGGAGCCTTGCTCCTGCAGATGTCTGTCCCTTCCAGTGGCTCCTTTAGACCGTTTATCAGGTCTCGGCCACCAGGTAGATGGGCTCTTTGGTTTTAAAACATACCAGTTAACATCCCAAGTTAACGTTCTCATTCATATAGGCTCATGTGTGTAACAGAGCCAAGTCCTGTTTTTGATGTCTAAAACACAGATAACAGCCTATTCCAAACATTTATTTTAGATCTGATTTTACCTAGTGAGCACCAGCATCATAGTTTACTTGGGTGTTTTCAGGTTCCTGAGTGGGTGCCAGTGATGTTTGCTGTGAAACATAGAGGTTGCTTCCAGGCCAGGAGGTTTAGTTTTCCCTGATTTCCACACGCTCCCTGTTCCTCCATACATGCTTTTTAAAATAATTAATTGCAGTTTTTTTTAAAAGCCTCACATGTATTTATTCACAACAAACAACTTTTAGGAAATATTAATACTTGTTTGTTTTTGTTTTGTTTTCAAAGAGGCTATTTTTTAAACTCTGTAGTTAAAAAGCA